GGAACAAATGTCTCAGGCGATGTCTGCGACTTTTATCGCACGGTTTCTCACGGCCTCCCGTTTCCTGCCACAGAAATACAAGGTGGGGACTGACGACAGCAACGCAATGTCGGAGCCCAGCAGCCCCCAGAGCAGCACGCGCAGCCGCTCCCCCTCCCCCGACGACATCCTAGAGCGAGTCGCCGCCGACGTCAAGGAGTACGAGCGCGAGAACCTCAACACCTTCGAGGCCAGCATCAAAGCCAAGCACAACCTCATCGCCCAGGAGAAAGACGGTAATGTCCTGGTCCGAACCATCCAAACCGGTTGGCATGCAAGGCCAACTGAATGAACAGCACGGTCGATTCCTGCCTCCAACAATGTGTGTGGAATATCGCCGAAGTACAGTTCATATTTATGTGCATGTGGGCACACACACGGGTCCGTCATTGGCCGTACACTCTTCACTGGTGGGATATCGTCCCCCTCACCGTGACCACAGCTTAGTTGGAGTGCAATGGGTGTGTAGGTGGTGTGTAGCGCGTCCCGTGTGACGCCAGCTTCGCCCACCACTTGAACCTTTGAACAGTCGCTGCAGAGAAGTGGGTCAGAACAGATCGTCTCCCCTCCACACTGAAAACCACAATCTTATGTGGAGAGATCACAACAGCCGACACCTGTGTTCTCTTTAGCTTTCTTTCATTTTTATAGGAAGCAAAATGGCTTCTTTTTTTTCTTTTCAATGCAGTTCCCACAGTACAGTCGTGTCTCAGTTAACAGCCGATATGATGGAAGTCCAAATTACAAAAGGCAAAGCCCTCCCTTTTGCATTCTTGGAACTCTAACAGTGCATTTATCTTTGTCCTTACCAGCAGTTTTCAGGGCTGATTTCACATTCATGGCACATACTGACTAAACAGTACTAAACGGAAATGGCTTTTAGTGGCTTGATTCGTGTGTGTTGCGGGGGTTTTAATGTTGTTTCTTTCTGTCATGTGTTCATTCAGTTGCTGGCTTGTAATCCAAAGCCTGAGTCTCTCTGCCACCTGCAGCAGAGTATGTGAATCAAACACCTTCCAGTTATTCGGTTTCCCGACCCGGTGGATGATTAGACACTAAAACTGCCTTGTTGTTTTGTTTTTATTTGTTTCAGGAGCCAACCCGAAGAAGCCTTCAGCGCCCGACATGTTTACAGAGTCAGATGACATGTTTGCTGCTGACTTTGATGTGAGTATTTCTTTTTTTTCTTTTTTTTCTCGGGATTTACGCAAATCCACATTTTAGTGGCTCTCATTTTCCCTTCATCTCACGTTTCAAGTGCGACTGAGAGATGAGAGAAAACACTTAAAGCGTCCCAGCAGCTGTTATGAGCCACTGACCTCATGTTGGTGTCGTTTCTGCAGAATGCCAGGATGAGAGCAGCAGGTGTGGGGAAGGACTTCAAGGAGAACCCCAACCTCAGGGACAACTGGACAGATGCTGAGGGTTACTACCGTAAGCGTCTTGCCTTATCCGTTATGTGGATCTGTGCAGAGGGGGCGGTGCCACGGCGACACGCGGCAACGTTAAGTGGAGTAACGGCCTTCTCTTCTGTTGTTTAGGGGTGAACATCGGGGAGACGCTAGACAAGCGCTATGACGTTTATGGCTACACCGGCCAGGGGGTGTTCAGCAACGTGATCCGAGCGAGGGACACTGCCAGGGCCGGCCAGGAGGTGGCAGTCAAGATCATCCGCAACAACGAGCTCATGTGAGTCATTCCTCCTTTAAAAAATATATATATATATATATACTTGACTTTTAAAGCAAGTATAGACACTTGGAAAGCCAGTGTTTCTGTGAATGTGGGCTTGAGGTTTTATATCGATGGACAACGTGGTTCTTGTGGTTAACAGGCAGAAGACCGGTTTGAAAGAGTTAGAATTCCTGAAGAAGCTGAATGACGCTGATCCTGATGACAAGTTCCACTGCCTTCGCCTCTTCAGGCACTTCTACCACAAGCAGCATCTCTGTCTGGTGTTTGAGCCTCTCAGGTACTGGAAGAGGAAAAGACCCTCCTGTCTTGTCATTCCACCGCTGTTGGCAGCATTCATGTAATTGCCGGTTGCTTTCTCGTAGCATGAATTTGCGGGAGGTCTTGAAGAAATACGGTAAAGACGTCGGGCTCCACATCAAGGCTGTGCGTTCCTACAGTCAGCAGCTCTTCTTGGCCCTCAAGCTGCTGAAACGATGCAACATACTCCACGCCGACATCAAGCCGGACAACATCCTGGTACGCCGTGAATACCCGATTCCACAAAATCCACTCACACCGTAGAATGACATATGTCATGACCTTGTGCGTCTGTGTCCTTTTTAAAGGTGAACGAGTCAAAGACTATTTTGAAGCTTTGTGACTTTGGTTCTGCGTCCCACGTCGCTGACAACGACATCACCCCGTACCTGGTCAGCAGGTTCTACAGAGCTCCAGAGATCAGTGAGTTGCTTTGTTTGTATCAATCTCCAATTAACCGGTGGCGATTGAAAGCGGACCGCGCTCACGTTTTGTCTCTTCCTCAGTCATAGGGAAGCCGTACGACTATGGGATTGACATGTGGTCGGTCGGCGTCACCTTATACGAGCTTTACACTGGAAAAATCCTCTTCCCCGGATCCTCTAACAATCACATGATCAAACTCGCTATGGACCTCAAGGGGAAGATGCCCAACAAGGTAAAATTGCATCATGTCACTGCAGTTCCTGCGGATGTTGTTTCCCTCTCCTGGTGAGTTGTTTATGGCTGATGCAATGTTGTGGATCTCTTTCCTCAGATGATCCGTAAAGGCCTCTTCAAAGACCAGCACTTTGATTCCAATTTGAACTTCCTGTACATTGAAGTAGACAAAGTGACAGAGAGGGTAAGGCGTTCCCACTTTCCCAAATGACTTTAAATAAATGTGAAATGTACTTAAGTGGCTGTTTGGGTGTTACGATGAGTATTTGATGCACATTAAAAAGGTTCCCGTCATTTTTCATTCAACTTCACTTCTTGCTTCTCTGCCCCCGACAGGAGAAGGTGACCGTGATGAGCACCATCAACCCCACCAAAGACCTGCTGGTGGACATGATAGGAGGCCAGCGGCTGCCCGAGGACCAGAGGAAGAAAGTGATGCTGCTGAAGGACATGCTGGACGGCACCCTGATGCTGGACCCGGCCAAGCGCATCACCATCAACCAGGCCCTGCAGCACGCCTTCATCCAGGAGAAGATCTGAGACCCCAAACGCACCCGCAGAGCAGACAAAGAACCGACCACTAAACCAGCTCTGACCGGAACGCACTCTGCAGAGAAGCAGCCCGCCCACAGACGGGAGTTTTGTTTTCTTCCTCATTTTTATTTTGTTTATGAATTCACGATTGCGTTTTATTGTAAATAGAGCATTGAAATGGTAGCCCTCCTTTAAGACATTGATTTTCCCCTCACACCCGACGATGCAGTTATGGACACTTCTTTTTCCCTCCCTTTTTTTAATTAAACTGCGATTGGCGTGAAAGATGTTTAAAAGAATATAATTCCTGTAAATACTGTTTGTCAATCACATTAACAATTTCAAGCAGCAGACGGTTGAGTCTTGTCGTAATTTCAGACTAAAATACAGGTTGTTTTTTTTGTTTTTTTTAAACCACAATTGTCATTGTGGGGCGATGCATGCTTTTGAATGTGCACCCTTTGTGCTCTAGATTTCTGTGGCGCAGAACTGTGTAAATGCTCTGTCCATCAGCCCCCCCCCCTCTAACCAAGTCTTCAGGCTTTGAAGTCTGAATTGAAGGAATAAATGTACTCCTTGAACCATATTTTCCTTTTTCAAAGCAGGAAATCATTGTTTTCTGTTGCTGGACATGTCCATGTTTTTTTTTTTTCTACACCCCCCCCCTCCCCTCCCCCATCCAGCACTCTGGCTCGGTCCTGGCTCTCAAGGCTCTCACATTCAAGTGCCTCCTGTATGAGCCTAGTGCGCCACAACACCCGACAATGTGGGCCTATTGAAGCCACACCTGTAACTCTCCTCTCCCGATGTTGTATATAGTCCATAGTTACTGTTCTTTCATGTGTGATTAATTTTTTTTTTTCTCCCATTAAGTGGTAAAAGGAATTTGTGATTTCAATAAAGAATAGTTGTGGAAACACTGCTGGAAGAGAACCTTCAGTAAGAACACTTTTTAGTAATAAAATATTTCCTATTATATACACGAACCCCCCCCCTTTCTTCATTTAACCCCCAACACGTTGGCATGCTGAATTACATAATGTCCTGAACATCCTGTTCCCCAGTAACTCGCTCCTCGTGAAATTAGGTGTTTTTATGGGAACTTCTACTCCGCTAAGTGCATTTTGAAGATGGCAGAAGAGCGAGAGGAGACCTTGCTGCTGCCTCGCGGCATTGGAAGCGGGAAAACGGTCCATCTTGTAAGCGGTTCGGTGTAATTTCTCTAATGCTCCATCTGCGCGGTGGAAAGTCTTAACGGTGTCAAATGATCCCACTTGTGTTGAGCTGCTAAAAAGCATAATGGGGGAGTCACTTAGGAAAGTTGGGGACGGATGCGAGAGCTCTTTGGCTGCGCGGAGCCGATAAAAGGGGCTTCTGATGTGAGCTGGCGGGCTACACGGCCCTCTTCCACCTGCTGGCTTTAATCTCAACATGGTGAACCTCCACCCAAACAACCCACTGCACAGTCGCGCCATTAGATTCATGAGGATGTTCCCGCGTCGCTTCGCTCCCGTCTTACCCTGCAGTTGTAGTTTCTGGGGAAGATCAGAAGAGGGCGTCGGACGTTCTGCAGTTTCTCTAAAGTCACTGATGAGGACTGACCTTGGGACTTTGTATTTTTAAGCACAGAAGTATAATCCCTCAATTATACTTCAATTTCACATGCGTGTTTATTTAAATGTTCTTGGTTGTCTTCATAGAAATAGAATCTTAACTCCAACAAGCATGTTTCATTTATTAAACCAGCGTACAGCATCAAGAAGAAAGGAGACAAATGTATTTTTGTTTTTATTTTGTTTCTCGTTTTTATTAAAACCATACAAACATTTGTAGTCAGTTATAAAAGAGCGGAGGGGCAGTGCTGGGCACTGGATGCTCCGCTCTGGGCCAGATGTGTCTGGCCTCTGCCTGGGAATCCGTGCTCTCAAAGTCATTTCTTTATTTGCCCCAGGATACTCCCCGTTTCCTCTGCTAAACCTACAGAAAGAGTACTGTATTTACACATTATATATAAAAGAGCACAAAGACTGTGAAAACATAAAAACAAAATCTAAGAAAAGCAGAATGCATTTCGCAAATCTGCACTTTTCTGATAGTCAAGACTTTTCTCGTATAAATGTTCTGTCATTTAGTCTTTTTTTTTTTGTTCAGGCCTCACAAGACACTTTACATGTTCTTTTTTCATAATTCACAACGGAAGATTGGCAGTGATCTTTCTCTTAACCGACAGGCAGATACGTATAAGGCACATACCCCAATGTGATTTCCCTCTTTCAAAGGAAAGGATTTCTACTTTGAAGAAAAAAAGAAAGAAAAAAAAAAACACACCAATAATGCACAGCTACAAAAATGACCAAAGGACAATAAAACAATTTGTACCTCATTGCTTTGACGCTGAGCGAAAGGTAAACTCCTCAAAGATCTGTGCTCAGTCGCATCAGACCGCGAGGCGATACGAACACTGTTGACAAAGTCACTGCAACACGTGACGGCCGTACACATTCTGAATTTAAGAGCTTTGGAGAAAACAATACCGACGATTTCCTATGAAACGAAACATGTCACTTTACAGCATTTACCATAATGATCATCATAGTGAAGAACTCATACCTACATCTGTGTGTGCGCACACATTAAGCACCAAATGGGACCTTTGATCATCGAGGAGAGAAACGTCCACTTTCATGTCGGCTCCGAGTAACCGTGCAATCCAACGTCAACAATCCGATTACCACAAACGGAATATAAAAACACTGTTATATACACATGTGAGTACCTTTCCGGAAAAAAAAACTAAATCAAGACATCAAGGAGACGACTGTCAGTGGTGTCTTGAAGACGCGGATGTGTTCGATACCGTACTTGCAGTTACTCTTGACAAAAACACCACTTGGTAAAACTTGGTAGAAGCACTGAAACATTTACAGGTTCACGGAAATAACGCACAAACCGAATGACAACAAATGTAAATACACCACTTGTTATGAACCTTAAAGTTATCATCGGGGGCCTGTTAAATCAATGTTGGAAATGTACCTGTGGAGTCAGAGGGGGGAGATACTTGGCACGCGGGCTGCTCTGTGTTATCACCCTATTATTATTATTATTACATGCATTTTTACCGACAGTGTGTACAGCAAAACACAGTGACAATACACAGAATACTGTTTTAAAGAAGTGAACCTTTCCTCACCTTCACACAAAAGAGCTTCCAAAAATAGCCCACATTCCACAAAAGGAATATAACTATTTATCTATACATCATTTGGACACATCCCATTTCTGTGTGGGATGACATTTTTACAAAATAAACGGGTTTGGCAACGGCCTTTTCCACAACAATATAAGTACACGATAAAGTTCTCTGAATTGCCACTTTGGTCTTAATCTTCACATACACCAGAGTTTTCTCGTCCTTTTTTTTTCCATTTTTTCCTAAGCGAGGAGAAAGCAGAGAGAGAGAGAGAGAGAGAGAGAGCAGCTACTGAAGGATCGCAAGGAACTTGCTCTCCTCGGCCAGCGTGGTGAGGAGGGAGCTCATGTCCCCGATGGCCATGTTGTTCAAGCCGGGGGCCACGCTGTGGAAGGCCGCCGACGCCCGAGGGGTGGTCAGGCGCGACGACGTCCTGGACAGGCCCTGGAAGATGGAGGGACTCAACACACCCGAGACCAGGCTACCCTGGTCATAGCCGTCCTCCAGCATGGCGCCAAAGTCCAGGCCCACCCCGTCGTCTAATATCCCGGGCACGGCGCCCTCCATTGTGCTGGTCACCTGGTCCGTGCCGGGGGACAGGAGGGCGGCCGAGTTCCCTCCTCCGCCGCCGCCGCCGACAACTTGCCCCGCGGACTCCACCATGGAGTTGAGCAAGCACTGGTCCTCCAGGACGGGGAACGGGGAGGCCTTGCAGTCCAGCGGTGCGTAAGAGAGGCAGTCGCCAAAGCCCTGCTCCAAGTACCCGTGGTCGGAGGCCTCCAGTTTCAGCCCAGACACCTGATGTGCAAGCGAGCAGTGGTCCCCACTCCTCTGCAGTTGCTGCTGCTTGTTTAGACCAGCCTGGCTTTCACCGGAGGTCTCTGCGTTGAGATACTGCTGGATCCTCGCCGAGTTCCTGTAACCGTCGGGCGGCCGAGGGACGTGGATCTGCCGGTTGTGGTGAGCAGCGGCTCCCTGGGAGACGCTCGGGAGGATGTCCACGGAGGACCTGCTCAGGATCAGGTTGCTCCCCATCTGGCTGTGGTTCTGCTGGAAGTGGCTCTGTTTTGGGGGTCCGCCGGGGGGCGGATGTTTGAAGCCCTGCTGGAGAGGCCCGTCGATGATCTGTGCGAAGTTGGGCCTTCCGAAGCCTCTCATCTCCATGCAGGAGTTAGGCGGCGTCTCCAGCTTCACCGCGGGGTTAACGAAACAAGCACCCTGGGACTGGTTGGCCTGGACACAACTGTTCTGGAAATCGAGGGGCACTTGCTGCTGCACCACCATGTTTCCGAACCTACCAAAAGGTACGGGTCCATGTTCAGCGGCCGGCCACCGCCCGCACTGCGCCCGGTGGATTTGCTCCCTCTGAGGGGACCTGTCGGCGCTCCCGGAGCTCACTTCATTCCACTGGATGGGAAGCTTGCTCGGGCTCGTCCTCTCTGCCGTCTGCTGCTGCTGCTGGAGGAGACCGTGGGACCCCGCGTGGCCCATGTCCAACCCTGCCGCCTGGATCTGTCCCATCTCCTCCATCGGTGGATGGGAGGCGTCCCTTTGGCTAGAAGCTATCTGCTCCTCGATGTGCATGTAGGAGCCGCCGTCCACCTGCGCCTGGGAGTGGAGATACTGCACCAGGTCGTCCGGGAGCATGTCCTCATCCCCCAGCAACAGGCCGGCCTCGTCCTCCATGGCCAGCGCCTCCAGGGCTGCGTGTTCCGCGATGCTCGGGGTGTACGGCGAGTGCTGCAGGCCTCTCTGCAGGTTGCCCTCCGAGCGCGTGTAGCTCTGCAAGCTGAAGCTGCGAGCTTCGGGCGTAGAGTGATGAGACAGAGGCGGCAGAGGGTGGAGGTTGTTAAGGCTGTTGAAGCGTTGCACCGGGGGCAGACTGCCCATGTCACCGGCCTGCGTCCGCACCGGGTCGCTGGCCCTCCGGTTCCCATTCAGCGGCCCCTCGCCCGGGTAGAGGACCCTCCTCCTGTGACCCGCGTGACCCGCGTACCCGTTGGCGTACCCGTTGGCGCCGTCGCCGCAGCAATGCGGCCGGACTAGAGGCGGCAAGGACTGGTTGCTGCCACCCTCGTCCATCATGGCCATGCGAGTCTTCAAGCTCATGCGCTCCATGTTGGGGAGGGGCGTGGGAGGCGGGCCGCCGGTCGCCGCCGCGTACTTGGCCTTCAGGTGGTAGTGCTGCGCTGGCGTTAACGTGAGCATCCCCCGTGAGCCCGCCGCACCCACCCCGCCCGCGCCTCCGCAGCTGCCGCCCGAGAGCCCCCCCCCGCCCCCTCCCCCCGTGCCCCCGTAATGGCTCGCCTCGCTGGACCGGCGCGAGGCATCCGTGGAGATGGGGTCGTAAGAGTCGGAGGAGCTGAGGTTGTGGAGGCGGCGGTGGTGGTGGGCGGCCGCCGCCGTGCCCTCGCTCTGGGAAGCCTGGCTGGAGCGCCGACTGGAGAAGCACGGGGAGATGCCGGAGGAG